ATTTTGAATACAGGTTTGAGAGAAGGTGATAAGATTCTTCTCTCTAGTCCAGTTATTTCCACTATTGTTATACACAGAGTATGACAGTTGACCCACCTCTGGTGCTTAGCACAAGTCTTGTTGCCAAACTTCACAGGAAAATGGGTTCATCCTGGAATAATTAAAAGAATGTTGATAAACCAGAACACTTGTGAAACATTATAATCCTTGAACTAATGCATTTTCTGTTCCTACAATTCCCAGCATCAGAGCAGAGAAAACACAACTGTAATCATTTATACTGACTGGCTGATGCTGTCTAAAATGCCCAGGAACTTAGCCAATATTTAGAACGTGGCCAGGGCTGTGGGCGGCCGCTCCCATGACATGGATTTGGCAGTAATTCTTACCCACATTGGAGCCTCTATGGGAAAAGATAGGATAACCCTGAAAGTGGAAAATGCAAGACTGAGTGACTAGTTAAGAGAGCATGTCCAGATAAGAAAAAAAGATCTTAAAGTCCCAGGTTTTATTTGGAGGTTTTTTATGACATTTTCCCCATCCGAAATATTCCATTATTACCTAGGATTTTTCATTTCCACTTCCCAGTTCAGCTTAATTTAAACCAGTATGAACCCAGTATATCCCAAATGAAAGGTACCTCTCCATGGCTGTCTGTGTTATATTGGAACTAGCTAAGATGGCCTCCATCAAGAAACACAGCAATTTTTTCCAGGACCCAGATTCAACAGAGATCAAGCAAGGGAAAGTGGAATGCTAGCAATAAAAGAAAATGTTCCTAACACTTAACTAGTGTTATATTGCTAAAGCATGTTATGAATAATAATTAGAAATGGTTCAGTAGAAACTGGTAAAGGAGCAAGAATACAAGGGAGGGGGGAAGCGAGGGAAACTGGGTATATTTCAAGGAAGAGTTGGAAAGCCTTGATACTTCCAGGGATTTTTCCCATTCTATATAAGCCTAGAGTGATAACTGGAGCAAGAAAGAATGAGCTCTGAGCAAGACCTTAACAGTGATTCCCAAACTCTGATTCTGATGTTTTGGACTACAGCTCCCAGCATTCCTGCTCATTGGCCAAGCTGGCTGGGACTTCTGGGAACTGAAGTTCAAAACAACTAGAGGGCCAAAGTTTGGGGACCACTGCAACTCAAGCAGAAAACCTATAAACAGTAGTTAAGGGCTCCAGCTTAGCACTACCAACCAATGGCTGTATTAATATCAGAGCTTGGAAAAGGTATTTTGGGGAGTCTAGTTCCCAGAATCCCCAGTCAGGGGGATTGGCGAAGGTTGTAGTCCCCCAAAAGTAAGTTTTCCAAGTGTGGTTATTATTCTCTGAAGCATCTGGCTGGTCACTTTGCAAAACAGGTTGCTGATCTTGGTAGACCTTTATTCTGATCCAGGAGACCTTCTGATATGTTTTTATATTGAAAGGGGGTAATGTATTCACATCCTCTGTTATATATTGCAGGCCTAGTCTTACCATCTGACAGAGTGAGGCAACAGCCTTTGGCAGCAGATTTTAAAGGAAAGCAGATTAAATTATGTATATTGATGAGGATGATGATGGTTATTATTATCCTACCTCTGTGGATCTTTATTTATTTATCACTTCCATCGCAGTAAAAATGTAAAGACAATAAATATCCCTTAATCATTTCCCCTAAATAAGCCATATTCTGTTAAAGCTTTTCTCATAAATTTAGCAGTAGATGAGAGAAAATGTACTTCAAACAGCAGTGAAAGTTCATTTCTTATTTTATACCAAGTCTGTGCTGATAACCCTGTCCTTTATAGCTTGCTTGTTATTCCATTGGTATTAAGTTTCTCTTCTCATCTGTAGTGCCCTCTGTAGAAACGTACTGTATTCCCCTTCTATCAGAAGCAATCTCAATAAATGCCAAGTTCACACACCAAAGGAGAACAGAAACATTCTAAGAACTTGCCTTTATCTTATAGTTCAAAGTTTGCTTACCATTTAAAGGCTGTGTTCTATAGATATGATTGCAATGACAAACAGGAAAGTGAGCTTTCTGTAGCTTGTAAAACATATGGAAAAGCCAGGAGAAAGATTGTACTGTAAAGGATAAACACCATCCCGCAACAGCTGCTATTTCAGCCACTTGGAGTGAAAAATTCAGAGAAGGAGAATGATTATAAGTCCTTAGTATTTTCATGAATACAAAAGTACTTGTATTTGCAAGCTGTGGATATCATAGATTGTGAGTTTAACCCAGCACCTGGGCATGTAGTCAGCCTTCCAAAACTCTGGTAGGGTTCACTACAGATTGACCCCCCCTTAAAAAAAACCAGCCTGATGCTCCAGGGAGTGTTTTGTTTAGGAACAAGTACAAAAGCGGGGTTATAGCTGAATAATAAAGGGGTTATTCAGACAGTGAAAATAATCCCAGTAGAATGGAGGTTGAATCTTTGTTGTTCACATGCATTTCAAATCCACCTGAGTAAGTTTGGGGTGGGCAGAGGTGCCAATAAAAACCCAACACTTAACCCAGGATAGTCAATCTTGGGTTTTTTCCCAAGTTTTCCTAAAAGATTTGCACTGTCGGCTGTGTGGTTAAACCAGGATAAAACTCTGCATGCCTTGAATGTGCTTCTAGTAAATCCACACCATCAACTCCATCTGTATTCGTGTGCTGACACATGTGAACAAGGGAATTCTTAGAGATGCACATAGATGAAGTTCCAATAAAAAAAGTATGAACAGCAAAACCAGAATACATGAGTGAGATTATTTGGATAGTTATGCTAAAAACATCTGAATAACCCCTAAGAAAACACAAATAATAATCACAGATGATTTACATAACATAAAAATGGAGGATGAGGACACTGAAAGCATCAAAACTTTCTACCATGCCTCAGTCATAAAACAAAAAGAGTATAGTCAAGAAATCAGAAGAAGATTATGACTTTGAAAGACAGCTTTCAAAGTACAAAGATAGAAAATTAAATACCAAAATCAGAATGATCCATGCCATACTATTTCTGATTTCTATGTATGAGTGTGAAAGTTGGACAGTGAAAAAAGTTGACAAGAAGAGAATCAAGTCATTTGAAATGTGGTGCTGGAGGAGGGTTCTATGGATAGCATAGACTGCCAAAATGATTACTAAATAGATCCTAGAGCAAATAGTCAAATATCTCCCTAGAAGCCAAAATGATCAAACTGGCACTATCATTCTTTGGACATATCATGAGATGACATGACTCATTAGAAAAGACAATAATGTTTAGTATATAGGACAGCAATAGGAAAAGAGGAAGACCCAGTCACAGGTGAATAAACTCAATAAAGGAAGATACAGACCTGAGATTGCAGAACTGAGCAGGACTGCAGATGACAGGGTGTCTTGGAGGTCTCTCATTCGTAGGGTCAGCATAAATCAAAGCTGACTTGCACCAATTAACAACTGGTGCTTCAAGCAGTATGCAGTGGTTAGTTTAAGCTGTCATTTTAACTTCTTACTGTGCCCCTAATATAGTGCCACTATGAGGAACTGCTGAAAATGCAAATGGTGGCCCCAACCTACCAGTGCTATTCAGAGTTGTTGCTGTCTGTCCTCAAAGCCAGGCAAGACCAGCTGGCTCATCCACAAAGAAGGGTGTCTGCCTGAAGACAATGAAGCTAATACAGTTGTCTCTCCCTGATCACAGACTTCAAGTCCACGGTCTCACTCTTCATGGGAGGGACAAGAGGCTATAGATAAAATGGTGGTGTGCACCTGCACGCAGCCTCGCACATAGGCCATGGGCATGTGCACCATTATTTTCAATGGGATTGAAATATTTGCAAGCCACCATTTTTGTATAGGGATTTGGAATGGATCCTCTGCAAATTGGGAGGGGCAACTGTACTACAGTTGAAACTACTTAAATAGAGAAGATCAAGAAAAAGCCCAAATAATATTTATAATTGTTTCGGGTCCTAGTCTCT